TTCACCGAAATTAGAGAATTAAAGATATCATTACAAAATGAACAAATCTGAGAGAGGTCCACATGTAGTACCTATATATGTAATATCAAAGCAATTGGACTTGCGGTTTTCAACAAGAAGTCGAAAATATCACTTTTTACCAAAAATTACAAAAATATTCACCAAAATTAGAGAATTAAAGATATCATTACAAAATGAACAAATCTGAGAGAGGTCCACATGTAGTACCTATATACCGGTATGTAATATCAAAGCAATTGGACTTGCGGTTTTCAACAAGAGGTCGAAAATATCACTTTTTACTAAAAATTACAAAAATATTCACCAAAATTAGAGAATTGAAGATATCATTACAAAATGAACAAATCTGAGAGAGGTCGACATGTAGTACCTATATATGTAAATATCAAAGCAATTGGACTTGCGGTTTTCAACAAGAAGTCGAAAATATCACTTTTTACCAAAAATGACAAAAATATTCACCAAAATTAGAGAATTAAAGATATCATTACAAAATGAACAAATCTGAGAGAGGTCCACATGTAGTACCTATATATGTAATATCAAAGCAATTGCACTTGCGGTTTTCAACAAGAAGTCGAAAATATCACTTTTTACTAAAAATGACAAAAATATTCACCAAAATTAGAGAATTGAAGATATCATCATGAAATGAACAAATCTGAGAGAGGTCTACCCAAGGTACATATACACCAAGTATCAAAGCATTCAGGCTTGTAGTTTTCAAGAAGAAGTCGAAAAAGTAAAACATTGACACGGACGACGACGGACGACGACGACGGACGACGACGGACAATCACTCATATGATAAGCTCCGCTCGACAAAGTCGACAGCGGAGCTAAAAAAGAACTGCAGTCAAAAGTCAAGAATGCCAGCAAATAAAGGACTCTGCCCCACAATCCTTTGTGCGCGTTATTACGGACACGCGCAAAAAACTGTACCACGCTTGTCAAATCTGGGTCAAATATACAGTACGCTACTATCTTGCCACAGTGGAGTGTTCGGTGACCATTGAATTAGCCCGTGATTCATATTTTATGTGTATTAATTTATTCATCAATTTTCGTGACTGACAGTACTGCCCAAATTTTAGTCAAAAAAACGCAACTGGTGAAACGGAAGAGCATTGCCAGGCGATGGACGCGGGGCTCTTTGGCGACGACCGCATAGAGGTCAAAATACGCGTTCTATTTTTACGCGTTAAATATGGCTCTTCCATTTCGCCCCCTCCGGAATGTTCTACTTTCACAGCCTAATCGCAGGTTTTTCGAAAAACGTCGAAAAAACACAAGAATTAGTAGAAATGTTCCTGTTTTGGGCGGATTATTGATGGAGAATAATGTCTTTATTACAAAAATGCTGAAAAACCGTGAGTTGTTGCCTTAGTTATTTTTTTATTGGCGAAAAACTGCGAACTCGGCAAATTTGGTTGCACAACTTCCCTTTATCATATACACCCAGCGACACCGATAAAACTGGTAGGAGGTAATACATTTGGGGCGAAAGTATTCAAAAATCAGTTTTTGGATGTTGCAATGGCAATGGTGGGCCAGGATTGTTTTCCAATTAGTGACGGCACGACCTACCTGTGAAGTATGAACAAAACCAGCCGAAACAATCACAGAGGAGTTAAAAGCCTGCTGGTGAAAAGTTACCCCAACTTTAGGGTCTAATTTCTCGGTAATGAAAACAGATATCAAAAATTCAAATGGTAACTTTGTGCCCACACTCAAGCTGAGTAGAATGAGCTATGTCTGAAGTGTTTTATCCCAAATTTGTAGGAGGAGATACATTTGGCGCGAAGCTATCCAAAAATCAGTTTTTTGGCTGTTGCTATGGGAACGGTGGGCCAAAAAAAATTTTCAGATTTTTCCTTATAACTAGGGTTAAGGTGTGACCTACCTGCCAAGTTTGAACGAAATCGGCCAAGCCAAAAAAATCACAGAAGAAATAATAGTGAACACTGGAAATGTACACACACAGACACACACACACACAAAACGACAAAAGTGATTATAAGGGCAATCCTAGCGGAGCGGATCGCCAATAAGCATGTAATGTAGCACATGCTATTTAGATGAACACAATGAAACACTTAAAATTTTGACAAGCATGTAATGTAACATGTGTTATTTAGATAAACACACAATGAAATCCCTAATATGTAGATAAGCATGTAATGTAACGTGGCATTTAGATAAACACACAATAAAACACTTAATATGTAGATAAGCATGTAATGTAACACATGCTATTTAGATGAATACACAATGAAACACTTAATATGTGGATAAGCATGTAATGTAACACATGCTCTTTAGATGAACACAGTGAAACCCCTAATATGTAGATAAGCATGTAATGTAACACATGCTATTTAGATGAACACAGTGAAACACTTAATATGTAGATAAGCATGTAATGTAACACATGCTATTTAGATGAACACAATGAAACACTTAAAATTTAGACGAGCATGTAATGTAACATGTGCTATTTAGATGGACAC